GTTTCTGAAGGTGGATAAACCAGGCGTGGTTTTCCACACTGTGAGGTTTCCCCGTTGGCGTGAAGGGGCCAAACCTGACACAGTTTTCAGCTTTTGATTCCCCGGAGAGAATCTAGCTGTCGCAGTGACTGACGGTGGTCAGCCACCCTTTTTTCACTCTCTTTCTTTTCTCTGTCTGACGGACGGAAACTGTTAGTTCCTAAAAGCTTAGAGAATCTATGGTCCGCCCTCCAGAAGGTTAGATTAGAAAAATAAATTATCAAGGAAAGTGTTAGTTTCAGAGCTCGCTGTGCCCTCCTGAAACAAAACAAAGATTATTACTGCTGCTGTTTGGTTCAGAACAACACATTTCATGACCCATTTAAATTATCTGATGAGCACTTATTTAAAACATAACTGAAAGAAAAATCAATTGCCTCAAGTTCAAAACATTTGCAAATATGATTCAGACAAGTAAAACATTGATATTTCATCAACTTAAACCATAAAGATTATTTTAGTTAAATATGAATTTTTCTCACAGAAAAACCATTCATAGCTGAAATCATACTGAGGGAGAAAAGAGACCTGTCCTCTCTTCTCCTGTAACTTTGATAAACATTCTCTGATTATCAAAATGCGTAATGCTTTCAGTTAAGAGAATGCTAAATCAAATAAGAGAAGATTCTTCTGTTTTTATCTGATTTAGAAGGAAAGTGGCCTTGGGTGGCCTAAAGACAGTTCTAAGTGGAACAGAGTTTTTGTCCATTCGAAGGCCCATCAGAGGACTGAGAGTCCAAGATAGTTCCTTGATAATTTGACTCGAGGTGACCCCTACACTGTTTATTTATTGGTAGCTGGAAAGGCCAGTCAGTCATGGAGTTTGATGCCAGTCACAGAAGTGAAGAGGAGGATGAAGGGACAGATGARCAGGGTGAGGAGGAGCAGGAGGAGATGAGAGGAAGCAAGAAAGAGGAGCAGAAACCACTAAAAAAGCAGTGCCAGGTACATGTGCAGTGTGCAGTACTGYGTTTGTGATGGTTCTTACATTAACGTCCTGAGATCTGAGGATTGTAGTATAAATCTAGTCTTTTTGACATCTGAAAGAGGCTGAAAATTCCACAATTTCCCTTCACCTTGTATTTTTCTTTCTTCTGACTGATCTATAAATTAGTTTTATCCAGCAATTTTTCACTCTCACTAGCCTGATGATCTAAACCAGGGCTATTCAACTGGCAGCCCGCATGCCACATCCGGCCCGCGAGTGACCAAAGTTTGGCCCGCCAATTGGTTCATTCATCTCTTAAGCCCAAACCCCCGGTTTTCTACTTTAATTACTCTTAAGTTCTTTTAGTTAAACGTAGACATGTTTGGTATCTACAGAAAGGTCAGAATCTTGGCTACAAGCTGGTAAAATCCTTTCTATGATCACTCAAGACAGTTAAAACTACAAGCAGTTGAAKATAAAATGATGAAAGTGAAAATAAAATTGATCGTCAGATTTTGTCCAAGATTAACCTTCAGGGTGGATATAACTCGCTCACACCAAGGACCTATCCACGTCATCCTTTACCCAGAATGCTTTGCGTGTAAATAAATGGCTCAGTCCGTGTAACATATTTTTAAAAATTTAGTTTAAAAATTATTATAAAAAAATAAACAGCCTACAGTATTTTTACAGTCTTTATTTTACAG